CAATCGTGAACCCAGCCCGGGATCCAGGGTTTAGGGTTTAGACTCTAGTTTAGGGTTGCTCCCGACCTCTTCCCCATCTGCACGACAGCAACTTCCGGCAATACCGCCACCTCTGGAATGGTCTCGTCCGTTGCTGTAATAGTGCAATGCACCTGCCCCGAGAGCTCACTACTCCTTACTACAGGTGTATGGCCTTGAAGTACTTGGGATTCCTAATTGTGACCTGTTCCATTGAGTCAAGCACGGCTTTTTTATTTAACTGACTTAAGGTATTTATCCCTTTGGTCGTTGAGTCAGTGTTAAATCTGTTTTGATGTACCCACAGGCTCGCTGGGCGGGAGCTTTGTGGGGCAGTGCCGTTTTTGCTTGCTGAAGGGCTCTGGTGTTTGGGGTTCGGGGCTCAGGGTCACCAAGCCGCAGTTACAAAAAAGATTTAGGGTCTGAGGTTTGGAAATTTGTCCAGGGCCCTCTCATGACACACTACTACCAGTACTACTACTACTACTACTACTACTACTACTACTACTACTACTACTACTACTACTACTAGTACGAAAGCGACGCCGACGACGTCTCCACTACGACTAGACGACTGTAGCTGTGACTACTACGACGACGACTACTGCTGCGACTACGACTACTACGAGTGCGGCGACGACGACGACTACCGCTACTATTCATGTTACTGCAGCTCCTGCTGCTGCTATTACTACTGATCACTAATACTTCTGCTACTGCTACGATGACGACGCGGATATCTACTACGACGACGACCACTGTCGCCACTGGTCCCGTTGTTCTTGCCATAATCACTGCTTGTCGTATTGAGGCCTGAATCAGTGGCTTGAATATTCCTTTGAACATGTAAGTATAAACCCTTCTTTTAGTAACCCTCCGCGTTGGCAAGGAAACCGTAAAGGAACACCTAAAGGCTGGTACGTGGTGTTGTTGAGGCATGCGGTGGGATTGCCATCTTCCGAACTTTGGAAGCGCAAGCCGGATCCGTCAGGGACTGAGGACCTTATCGAAGCAAAGGGTTTAGCGACCTGTTTGCGATTTCGGGGGGTTGTAGGTCTTTTTCGGGTTCTTTGGGGTTAGCGGCATTGGGTTCAGGACTTTAGGGGGGGTAATGGGATTATGGTTGCATCTCTCCGAACCCAAAACCCGTGTTGTGTGTGAGTGCTAAGAATCCTCTTAAACGCTTGTAGACGGACCCTTTTGCTTTGATCGAACCAGATCAGGTTCTCGAGTCTGCCTGTTTCTATATGGTTCAGTCGCTGTAGTTGATAGGGTGTAAGGTTGAAGTTTAGCCGAGTATTCGTATTAGCGTCTTTTCCCTGAGTCTACAGTGCTTTGCAGAGCAGGCATCACTGCATGCCATTCCATGCCCCATGTCTTCGGGACATTTTGAGAGTACCACAGTTCCATTTCGAACCCCAAACCGTACAAACCCTTAAATCCTAAACCCTTGTAAATCCTAAATCCTAAGCCCTCCAAACCCTTTAAACCCTAAATTCTTAACCCTAAACCCTATAAGGCCTAAACTCTACAAACCCTAGAATCCTTAAGCACTGTCGAGGAAGAGCTGCCCCGCCGCGGTTCCCAAATCCGCAGGAGTAGAGTTTAGGATCCAAAATATAGGGGCTAGAATACATACCAGCAGTACTCTTGGGGCTAGTCATTTAATTTTATCGTATAGTGGGCCCCAACACCCTATTCCAATTAAGAAAGGCCCCCTATACTATAGTACCCTTACAGATCCCTTATAGACCCCCTTTAAAACGGGACCCTTATTCTAAATATTAAGGCCCCTATACTGCTGGAACTCCTCCTTTCAGGTTTTTCGTCGTCAATAGGATCGAGGCCGAAGATCTTTCCGTGTTCGAGAGGTTATCCTCTCTTTGTGTTAGGGTTTAGGGTTTAGGGTTTACGAAGTCGCAGGCCTGTTGCGACAAGGGTTTGGGAGGGGGGTGGGGGGCTTAGGTCAATTTCTTGCTATCTTTGTGAGGAGTGAGGGTGGCTCTTCATGTAAAAGGGGTCTTGTTTGGGGGTTCTGCATGCAGCAAGTTCTACTGAGATCCCTCATTCTGCTGTGTTGGGAGTCAGGAAGTCGGCAAGGTTGCAGGAGTTTGTGGTTCGGATCTTCGCAGCCGCTTAGGGTCAAGTGTTTAGGGTTTAGGACCCCCTGAATACAGACGACAATCAGACTATAACTATAAGCCCTAAACCCTAAACCCTACCTAAACCCTAACCCTAAACATGCTTTGAGCCCAGCAAAGCAAGACCCGACCCTAAACCTCAGATGTCGAACCCCTGTGAGTAGGCAAGGGCTTAGTTTAGTATTTAGGGTTTAGGCTTTGGTATTTAAGGATTCACGGCTTGGTTTATAGGGTTTTGTTCAGTATTTCGGGTATAATAAGTATGCGGCTTTTGCATTTCGGTCTTCGGGTGCCTATCTGGTCGGATGGCAGTTCTGCGGTGCCTTGAAATTGTTCGGCTTTCAGGATGCAGCCCAGAGACCCTGCTTCTATGTCAGGCTTCCGGCGTTGAAGTACGGCTGATGATCTAAATCCTGCACTACCCATAGTAAGGAATATGCCATATTCCCATAGTCTAGGCTCCTGAAGGTAATGCAGGATTTATATCATCAACAGTAGGGTCTCTGGCTGTTTAAGGTTGCAGTTTAGATTTTCTTGGGGAGCAGGGACAATCCTGGGGCTCCAGACAGCGATAAGTAGCTATTCTTTGCAGACGTCAGACACCAACGTAGGTACTATTTCTATACTTGGAGGTCTACGGAAAGAGTCCCTAAACCAGTGGAAGAATGAGCCCTTAATGCAACACTACGGGTTTGTGGTGTTTGCGGCTGTATTTGGCCTTGTTCGGATCTGCGCACTCTGCGAAAAACATGCATGCCAAGCTTTGCGCTCTTTTTTTCGCGCACACGGTCTAGGGTTTAGGGTTTGAGGAGACGCAAAAGCCCCTTGAGCGTTGACCTCGCGCAAGTGCTAAAACCACCCAAATCCTAGCTTGCAATCCACCCTCAATTAACCCGAAGCATGTAAGGCAGAAGCCTGCATAATTCTAGGCGCCACAAGACACCTTGAATCATGCATGGACGCGAGGCGGGAGAAGTTGACGAATACGACTGCGAGGAAGCAAAGCACGACGCCCAAATCATCGATTTTCTTGGGTGGGGTTTGCAGCGAACAGCGGGGGCGAGGCCTGCACGTCCGGATTTTTGACGTATACATGGACAGACGTTTCGGCTTTGTGGGGATACTGGATTGCAGCCGCTCCGCTCAAGTAGCGATTCCCAGATCATCGTGTCCCAAACTCATGCCCACAGGATCCCGAGTTTGGGACAGTATTCATTGATTTAACCCAACTTCACAGCAGGATCTTTTTTGCGCTCGATGGGAGCTTGATCTACAACCCCAGAGTAGATACTCGGGGTTGCTGAGCTGTGCAAAGTTTGGTAGATGGGGTAGGTTGTGCTGCATGTTCCTTCGTGGGGGTCTTCGGGATTCAATTCACAGCTCAATCCGAATCCTTCGTAGTACGCGGAATGAATTAGTTTGCAACTTCCGGGTTTGTAGGGCTTTGCTGGAACTGAACCTATGAATGAGACAGCGTTAGGATCGCGGGCCAGCAGATGCGGGTTTGAGTCTGAGACAATTCGAGTGTGTTGTTTCAAGTCCTCGTCGCGAATGGGTTGTGGCTGCGCATGAATTCAGGAAACTTTAGCGATGAAGGTGTAAGGATGTAGCATCTCAAGCTTCGGGCCCTCTGAATTTGTTGCCCCAGGACCACTAAAAATCTTGTAGTTGGGGATGGCCTGTCGGCTGTGATGCTGCATGCAACGGCTCGCTTCAAGGTAACAACTGTATGCTTGGCAGTGGCAGTGCTGACGCAACATGATCAGGATGCAACGCTTTCTTATCCGAGAGTACGAACATGCCCCACTAGGACCCTGCAACCAAGGCCTCAGGGGATTGCAGCTTGGGTCTACCATCGCCAACAGCATGGATCCATACTTCTAGCCGATTGGGAGCTTCAAATCGGATTGAGTCAGAAAGGGAATGGGGGGAATGGATCAGTATGATGGCCTCTTAATAGGTCCTTTATGGTAGTCATTCATAACTTCATAACCTATTCCCCCATTCCCTAGTAAGAACCAGGGAGTTAAGCGGAGTATAGTTGTAGCACCTAGCGTTCTGCACGTTCCTGCGGCCTGCTGTGCCTTCCACGTCTCAGCAGTCCATCCTGGAGGCCTGCAAGTTGTGCTCGATTTCCAGCTGAGACCTTGAAGTTGAGGGCTTGAAGGTTTTGAGGTGGGTTTAGGGTTTAGGGCTTGACCCTAAACCCTAAACCCTGTTGTTTTCAGGAGTTCGGCAGTAGAGCCCTCAGAGCGTTTCAAGAAGAGATCAGCATGCACTTTGCTGAGCCCTGAGACATCTCAAGAGCCCCGACAAAGGTATGATCATTAAAAGGCATCTTCTGATCCGGGATAAGACCGTGGATGGTTTACCAATATCGACATAGGAGAATGATGGTGCAGGCCGGAATCCCTGTGTCAACATAGACAACAAACGGCAGTACCGTGCCCACAGAAGCAGCAATTAGAGGAGCAAAGACGCATCAAAGTCGAAGAAAAAGTTGCCTTATAGTTATAGTCAGAGTCCTATGCTGCCCTCTTCGGTTGGGCATCTCAGGTTCACATTCCCTTAGCTCCTTGACCTTGCACGGTGGCAGGAAGGTCATGCGCGATGGAGGAACATCAGAGAATTCAGCATGGGTTCGCGGACCTCACGCATGCTTGCTTGCTCTTAAGTATGAACTGCTCGCAACATCGATGCTCTGACAGGTCTGCAAACAGCAGTTGCAATTCAGATGCATCTGCACAGATCGGAAGTTTCGAGATCAGAAGGATGAAGCCTGAATCCGCGAACCTGATACCTAGGGGGTGTCTGCTAGCCGTCCGAAAAGGAGTGTTTGCAATGGTGCCTGACAATGCCGAATTGGCGACGGTGATCGGCCGCCGGCGACTTGCTCCAGAGTAGAAGCCGCTTTCGCACTTCTGTGGTAGATCATTGAATAAAGCATTTTTCTTTTATGTCTGCAATCCCAGGTTGAGCGTCGAGTCAGTTGAAGTTTCCGTAAACCTCGATGCCGATGAAAGTTTGAAAGTTCCGTCGAGCGACGAGTCATTCAGAGACTGGGAAGTTCCTGATGAAAGTGGCTTCGCACTGGTGCCGGTCACCGAATCGGGCAGTGGCGTGGATGATTGTCCTGAAGGTCCATCTGATGCAGAGTCAGCCAGGGACGCCGCATCTGATACCGAGTCAGACCGGGTCTCCCCCAGTGCCTCGGTGGCGGCATTCCTGCAGGCCATGCAGCCAACTCGACCTGAAGTTCTGCGTGGATGTCCAGCTCACGTCGCTTCTGGGGGCTTTGGGCGGGTGTTTTGGGCTGATGGGCGTGAAAGCTTCTTCCACCTGAGCAAGGTCACGGAAGCCTACGACGAGTTTGTGAGTCATAGTTGGCAGGTTGAGACCTGGAAGAAAGTTCTACTTCTGGTTATGTTGAAGCATGGCCCGGTTGCTTTCCTCATAGCGGGACTTGGGGCCGGGCTGATGATGTGGATTTGGCAGTTTGGCTTCTTGCCTGGCTACGTGAAAGCTGAGTATGAATCCGATGCACCGGGCTTGCAACACTCCTTTTGGTGCCTTCTCGCGGGGCTTTTCCTGGCGCCCTTGGCTTTGCTCTTCTGGAAGCCTCGCGGAGTTATCTTTGTAGACCGGGTGTGCATCAACCAGTTCGACAAGCGCCAGAAGGCGGAAGGAATACTGAACCTCGGAGCCATACTCAAAGCATCCGAAACGCTTCTGCTTATCTGGGACGAGTCCTATGTGGAAGCTTCACTGGCTTTAGAAGGATTCGTGTTCAAGTATGCAATAGATTCTCGACTTGTTCGTAAGACTGATGTGGTCTCTGAGCAAAACCTAGGACAGGCTGTGGTGCATTTTTGAGCTAGCGGCATTCCTTCGTTCCCATCCCGACATGCTCACCACCATGAACCTCTCCAAACTGAAAGTGGCTCCTGCCGCTCTTGGCTATGTGTCCCTTTCGACGGCACTAGGTTCTCTCGCCTTCGGCTTTTCTGAGCTGGTGGTCCCTTCAGGGAACGTTTGGCTGTAGTGGTCTATCAAAACGCTTCTGATCTGCTTTTTCGGCTTCTTTTTAGTACGCGCACATTTCCGGGCGCTGGATGCGATGAGCTCTCAGCTGCAGAACTTCGAGCTTCGGAAGACCAGCTGCTGGTGCTGCTCTGTGAATCATGTGCACCCGACTACTTATGCACAGCTCCCATGCGATAGAAGCATCCTTACCAAGTGTTTGACCGGATGGTTTGGTTCCGAGCAGGCCTTCAACGATGCTGTTCGCTCGTCTGTGGCGACCGCCCTCGAACAGCAGCTGGGCTATGACGCATTTCCATACACCTGGCTGTTGTGGACGACATCGCCATACTTATGGAGCCTCATGGACGTTCTGGCCAGCATGCTAGGCAATAGTGCTCTCAGAGAGGATGCCGTCCGGAGGCTGCTCGTGAGATACCCCACCTACTGGCTCTTTACTTTTCCCACCGTTTTCACCTGGGGCATGATCTTGGCCCGTTTCTTTCGAGCCAAGGGGCGAAACTGCAAAGCCGACTTCCTTCGCAATGCCCTAGTCACGGCCATGACCACACCAAGCATCCTTCTATTCGTGTTCTGGGAGATATGGACCCGCATCGCTTTTGAGAGATTGGCGGGCTCCGTGATTTTTGTGACTAGCGCCGTGTTGGGTTTTCTAGTTTCAAGGTTCATCTACCATTGGCACCACGGCAAAGGAATCTTGCAGCCAAATGGCTCAAGCTCCTGACATATTTCCATTTGCAGACACAGCGTTTCACATTTACGACGAGGTTTCTGGATTTTGGGCGTCGCGAGCCCCGAACTTGTAAATGCCGCGGCCACCTGCTTCGGTCGATTGCTGCCACAGCAGACGAATCATGTTCAAGATCATGAGAGACTGGAACTTTCTAGGGCCGTGTTACGCAGTTGCTTGTATCACAAGTGCTTCGGATTTCGGCAGCACGATCCACAAGCGCATATTTTTTAAGAGTTTTTTCACTGCTAGAGCAAATCGAGGGATGGCTTTCGCACCACGCCAAGTGATAGCAAGTCTAACTTTCGCATCATCCCATTCGTGACGTAAATTCCACGAGTGCCCGTGCCAAAAGATCGGTTGTGTCTTGGCCGCATCGCGGCGACCTGTCGCCTGAACACATGTCTTGCTCGTATCAAACCTTCAAACCTGAGTAGTTGGCGAACCATCCGGGCTGAAGCTATAGGATACCTGCAATTCCTTCATCCTGAAGCATCCTGAAGCTGCTAAACCATGAGCCATCTTTATTCCAACTCCTTGACTTAGTTGGAGCCGGGCACTGGCGGCCCTCAGAAGCTTAAAGCCTACCGTTGACAGTGGGCATGGGGTTAGTGGTGCAATCTGCAGCTGCTGCGTTATGGCTTTCCATACCGGTACTAGAGCCATCAAATGGGTAGTTGTCAGAATTAGGGTCCCTCTTTGGGTACCCTAAATGTTAGGTGCCGTATTATATTAGGGACCCAAAAAGGGACCATGATTTTGACAACCACCCAAATATTTCGAACGAACACCATGCCAACCCGCCGCCCTCCACGGACAAGGCTTGTCTTGAAAGCTCAAGTCTCCAACCTTTTGTATCCTACCCCAAACCCCGAGGCCACGTAGGGATCATGATGGGACTTCGTAACTGGGCTAACCCTAAACCCTAAACCCTAAACCCTAAACCCTAAATCGAACAAGTGCACACAAGGCTCCAAGTGTACACAAAGTATTTGCAAGCTAGAAGTCCGAAAGTTTAACATATGGGTAGCTGTAAAAATTTAGGGTCCCTTTTTGGGTACCCTAAATCAAAAAGGGACCATAATTTTGACAACCACCCATATGACCCAAATGTTTGAGAGTTTCCATGGCATCTACGGTTTTAGGGTTGCTTTGCAGGGTTTGCCGGAGATTGCTTTTGATAGGGGAAGGGGACTTCATGGCCTCAAGATTCTTGTGGACCTGTCGGGTGGGGGGGACTTCATTGATGTTTGGGGTTTCGGTTACCAGATCTTGAGGGTTTCGTACTACAGTAAACCCCATAAAATTGGAAACCGGATTAAGGCCAAAGAGTGCTGGGATTCCTTATACATTACTCTTCAGGACCGAGGCTATGGGGTTTCCAACTTTGGGGCTTCTACTGTACTCTTCTGTTGATCCAAGATAGGACCGTAGATTGTATGAAGATTCCAAATAGGAGACTGATGGCAGAAAACAGCCCTACGAGACAACAAGGCGGCAGTACCGTTGCCACAGAAACAACAGGAAGTCATCGAAGTCGAAGTCAAGGTTGTCTATTCAAACGGGAAAAGGAGGGAACCCTTAATGGGGACCCCTACCCTATAATGGGCTATACAATGGGTATATAATAGCTATATTAAGAGTATATACCTAGGGGTCCTTAATAAGGGTCCCTCCTTTACCCTTGGATTGTCTATGTGACTTAGTCAGGGTCCCATGTTGCGCTCTTCGCTTGGGCATCTCCGGTGTTTTTTGCCTCCGTGACCCTGGATGGCGACAGGAAAGCCGCGCGGGGTGGCAGTACATCAGAGCCTTCAGCGTGAGTCGGCCGAGATCTGAGATGCCCTTGCTTGCTCGGATAATATAGGGGCCTGAGTAGTTAGCTGTGCTAATCCGAGGGTTCGTTTATGCAGCTCCAGCATACTACACCCCAAAATCACATTCTATTGGTTGAGGCTCTGATGGTTTTCGGGAGTCCTCATGACGAGAGGCTGTTCTATTGCTTCAAGGGACGAAGGAGAGGCTAAACCGATAAACCCTTGCATAACACCCTCCTGCCCAGGCCATCATGGTCTATGCACCCATTCAACATAGCTAGTAAAATCGTAATCATGTACTTGGGCACCGAAGTACCTACATAGCGACTACCTTGAGGCCGAAGTCTATAGTATATGAGTCTGAGGACGTGGAGCCTTGACCGATTCTGGTACGGTCTTGCAGGAAGCAGTTCTTTCAGATACATTCTAGGTAGGGCTTTGGGACATTTATTTTTTCCCTTATTGGGAATAAGAGGATCCTATTTACTACTATTTTTCAATTGCTTTAAAAGCACCACCTAGCATTGCACAGAATCCTGAGCTACCGTGCTGGAGCATCTTGGCCCTTGGTGCTGAGGCAAGCTCTGGAGCCCCGATCCCTGAGTTTTTTTCTTTTTTTTTTTACGGTGGTTTAGGGTTTAGGGATACATGGTTTAGGGTTTGGGTTTTTTAGAGGGGTTTAGGGTTTAGGGTTTGGCTTGCAGCGAATCGAAGCAACAGTCTCGCTGCACAGAAAGGGTTCAGGGGGCCTGCTGTGCGATGCGATGGTGCCTGGCAGCACGCAATCGGCGAGCGTCGTCGGCCGCCGGAGACTTGTTTTTGATTGGATGCAGCCTTTTATACTTCTTGAAAGTTGTTCGATATGACTTTTCATTCTCGTACGTGCAACCTAAGTCTTGTGAGCGTCGAGTCAGTGGACGTTTCTGTGAACCTCGATGCCGATGAAAGTTTGAAAGTTCCGTCGAGCGACGAGTCATTCAGAGACTGGGAAGTTCCTGATGAAAGTGGCTTCGCAACGGTGCCCGTCACCGAATCGGGCAGTGGCGTGGATGATTGTCCTGAAGGTCCATCTGATGCAGAGCCAGTGAGGGACACCGCATCTGATACTGAGTCAGACCGGGGCTCCCCCAGTGCCTCGGTGGCGGCATTCCTGCAGGCCATGCAGCCAACTCGCCCTGAAGTTCTGCGTGGATGTCCAGCTCACGTCGCTTCTGGGGCTTTGGGCGGATGTTTTGGGCTGATGGGCGTGAAAGCTTCTTCCACCTAAGCAAGGTCACGGAAGCCTACGACGAGTTTGTGAGTCATAGTTGGCAGGTTCAGACCTGGAAGAAAGTTCTGCTTCTGGATATGTTGAAACATGGCCCACCTGCCTGCCTCCTAGCGGCCCTTGGTGCTGCGCTGATGATGTGGATTTGGCAGTTTGGCTTCTTGCCTGGCTACGTGAAAGCTGAGTATGAGTCCGATGCGCCGGGCCTCCTTTTGGTGCCTTCTCGCGGGGCTTATCCTGGCGCCCTTTTCTCTGCTCTCCTGGAAGCCTCGTGGAGTTATCTTTTTAGACCGGGTTTGCATCAACCAGTTCGACAAGCGCCAGAAGGCGGAAGGAATACTGAACCTGGGAGCCATACTCAAAGCATCCGAAACGCTTCTGCTTGTCTGGGACGAGTCTTACGTGGAGGCTACACCGGCTTCAGCAGAAGTTTTGTTCGGACATAACATAGAATCTCGAACTTTCCGTAAGACTGAATTGGCCTCTTAACACCGAGGACAGGCTTTGTGAGTGGTACTTCACGCAGCTGAAGTTCGGAGGGGCGTGCTGCAAGCACGCCACGACACTGACATCTAAGGACCGGTGCCAGCAGTGCGGCAAGAGCGCCTCTTCGGGGCGAACCTCTACCGCACGAGCAACGACTACTACAGGCTTTGGTGTGTCTTTGAGCTAGCAGCATTTCTTCAATCCCATCCCGACATGCTCACCACCATGAACCTCTCCAAACTGAAAGTGGTTCCCGTGGCTCTTGGTTCTGTGTCCGTCTCACTGGCGCTAGGTTGTGTAGCCTTTGGCTTTTTCGGGTTCCTGGTTCCGTCAGAGGATGTTTGGCTGCAGTGGACCGTCAAATCGCTTCTGATGGTTGTTTGCGGCAATGTCGCGGTAGACGCATTTCGTTCGCACTTCCGGGGCCTGGACGCGATGAGCTCTCAGCTGCAGAACTTCGAGCTTCAGAAGACCAGCTGCTGGTGCTGCTCTGTGAATCATGTGCACCCGACTACTTCTGAACAGCTCCCATGCGAGAGAAGCATCCTTACCAAGTGTTTGACCGCATGGTTTGGTTCCGAGCAGGCCTTCAATGCTGCTGTTCGCTCGTCTGTGGCCACCGCCCTCGAACAGCAGCTGGGCTATGACGCATTTCCATACACCTGGCTATTGTGGTCGTCGTCACCATACTTGTGGAGCGCCATGGACGTTCTGGCCAGCATGCTAGGCAATGATGCTCTCAGGGAGGATGCTGTCCAGAGGATTCTCATCAGAAGCCCCATCTATTGGCTCTTTACTTTTCCAACACTTTTCACCTGGGGCATGATCATGGCCCGCTTCGTGCGAGCGAAGGGGCGAAACTGCCTCACCGAGCTTCTTCGCAACATCCTCGTCGTTGTCATGGCTGGGCCAAGCATCCTTGTCGTCTTGTTTTGGGAGATTTGGACCCGCCTCGCTTTCGAGAATAAGTTGGTGGGCTCCTTTATTTTTGTGACTAGTGCTGTGGTGAATTTTCTCATCACAAGGTCTATCTACCATTGGCACCACGGCAAACGAATCTTGCAGCCGATTGGTCCAAGATCGTGAGAGGTTTCCAGGTACAGAGTTTCAGTCTCGCGACAAAGCTGTCGGATTTCTGCGTGGCGAGCCACGTGATGACTGAATGCCTTCTGCAATGGTCAATCTTTTGATATCGCAATCGCCGTCAGAGAGGAGTCATATACCTTCATGGTTCAAGATCATGAGAGGTTGGAACTTGTCTGGGGCAATGTCGACTTCTGCTTGAATTTCCAGCAAAGCGACTGCCAAGCCCCAGCTTTTCAATGCTTTTTGACCAAGTTGAGCAAAGTCCTTTTGCTCTTACCAAGTAAAAAAATTCAGAATTGTCCCTTTCGTGAGTTCCATGACTGCCTTTGCCAAAAAGTCGGATTGCGTTTCCACTGCCTCTGATTACCTGTCCAGTGAACGTGTTTCTTGATCGCAGCAAACCTCCAAACCTTAGTGGACCAGATCCCTTGCAAGCCCTGTAATGTGTTAACCTGATTAAGAAACCCTGGGAGTATAATCCGAGAAGACTAGGGTTCATGTAAGGAACCCCAATAAAGGCCCAAGGTTTCTTAATCAGGTTCCTACAATACCCTCAGTCTGCAAGGCCTGGAACCGACTCAGCCGGAGCCCGGCACTGCTAATCCACAGAACCTTAAAGATTGCTAGCTGCGGATTTTCTTGCACCATGCCAGTTCCCCAAAACCCGAAACCCTCGACTCAGAACCCAAGCAAACTTTGAGCCGCAATCCTTACACTGTAAACCTTAATCTGAAAGCTTCGATCCCTATCCCAGATCCCAATTACAAGGCTCCAGGTTTGCAGAAAGCACCTGCCTTGTGATCTAACGTCTATGCAAAGTACTTAGGTTGTAGGGTTTCGGGTTTAGAGTATCTACTTGGTCTTTGTTGAGCCCATCTTTCAGCAGCCTAGGCACCATGGCGCTGATGGCTGCTGAGCTCTTGGAGTTGGATCTTTTGATTTATCACATGAAGAACCTACTGTACGATTCAGACTTCCCACTGCTTCCTCTGCTTTCTAGCATTCTACGGTTGGTGATATAAATCCTGCATGACCCATAAGAAGGAGTATACCATAATTCCCATAGTTTAGGGTCCTTAAGGTAATGCAGGATTTATATCATCAACAGTAGGATCGCATTGGCTCGAGGCTTCGGGGTTGAATGTTTCGGAAAGTGCTGTCCATCGCGCGAAGGGCACAGGTTCACACACTGCCTTGCAAGATGGGTCAGAACTGTGCGCTGTGGTGCACCTGTCGGACTTTGGAGTGGTCCTGGGAGCCTAGAATGGTAACTGAGAGTGCTGAGACTGCTATCTAGCGCTGCTTGGGGCCGAAGTATAGTAATTACATTGTTCAAGATCTGCAAAAGAAACCCTAGCCTGGAGAAGCTTCCCCAAAACACCACCACCTCGAAGACGTGAAGGAGGCTAGTTCTGCACTACAGCTGCTCTTGTGGCATAAGTGCGGCATCTCCCTGCCAGCAGCCGGCTAGGAAGCGGCATGCGCTGCAGCTCTGCAGGGAACTGCCCCCCAAAAAAGTAGAACATGAGAGCGAGATTGAAATTTAAGTAAATCTAAGTACAAAAAAGCCGAAACTTCCTAAATCATGGGAACGAATGTGAGTATAGTCTAGTGTAATCGTGGTCGTTGTCCTGTTCTTGTCTTCATGGAGTGACTCGGGGTCTAAAACCTAGAAGCTTAACTCGCAGTCGCAGAGTCATGAGCTCCAGGGGGCTGTAGGACTTAGAACTTATTATGTTAGAATTGATTGTCTCAAGCTATACTGGCCGGTCGACTAGCGTTCTCGCTCTCGGCTTGAGAACTCTGAAACTACACATTCAGTTATGAAGCGTTTTGCCCGCGCGTACAATGCTACTCTGCGGACTATAAGTCAGAACTGTAGCAAGACTCTGACAAGTCGTGGCAGGAAGTGGTTTTGCTGCGTCACCTCAAACCAAGATGCTTTACACTCCAAAGTCTCAGTCGGATGAATCTCTCCTTGCAATTCCAGGCTCCATTATCCAGGGGGCGAGATATTCCAAAATGCAGACGCCATACCCTAAACGCTGAACCCTGTACTGCACCGCAATCTCTTTTTGGGGCCGAGCTCCCAGAACCCACATGACGCTCAAGGGATCCCGAGCTATCTGTTTTTGCTGTTGAGGGTTTGGGGTTTTCCGTCCTAGCACTCTCTATGGTTTCTGTGGGTCGTCCGACTTGTAAATACTCCCTTGTGCGGTCGTCTGGCTTCTGTTCAGCTGGTCAGGCCTTATTGGCATATGCAGTGCAGGGCTTTGGGTGCAGGATTGGAGCAACAGCAAAGCAAGGTGTAAATTGCAAAAGAGATTCTGTTTCACTGTAGAGTCATGTCATCGTGAAGACTGTGACGCTGATGCGCAACTCCAGGGTCTAAGGCTTTGCGGATTGCGGTCCAAGAGACTCAGGCTTTCAACCGTGTTGCGCAGAGTAGGTACGTGCGGGTTCATGGGTTTCCTTATACTTCGTAAGATGTAAGATGCAGAATAGCACGAGGCCCCGGCCCTGCAAACAGTCTTCGTGCAATATAGGAGCTCGAATAATTATCAACATTATTCCTTGGGGTTCGTTCTTTTTTTTATGTCTACCAAAGCGCGGAAACTACCTGAGTCTTCAATCGGGGGGGCAACACTCGCAAGCTGTAGTTGCGCAAGGCTCCCGAGGACCCAGTACGGTCAATCATATACTCCTTAGGATTGCTAATGCAACAGTATGTGATGTATTACATACTTCCGACCCCTAAACCTGATAGTCGATTCATTACCCTGAAAGTCCAACAGCCCTGAAAAACGAGGCGGTTCACGAACCTCCCTGTTTTGCTGGGCTGTTTGACTAACCTTCAACTTTTGGGTGTGATGAAGAGCGGTAGTTTTGGGATACCTGCAGGGGCCTCAACACGGTTCTAGAGTGCAGGCAAATTCTCTGTGGCAACAACATTTTTGGATTCCGTGCAGCAGCACATACGCGGTAAAATCAACAGCATCACGCCCTCATCACGCCCGGATCACGTCTAAACTGGGCGGTTCCTCGTTCCACATACTATCTATCGATTGGGCTCCCTCCCAGCATCACGCTCGAATCACGCTGGCATCACGCCCGCGGTTGCCCTCAGAACCCCTTCAAAAATAGGCAAAAGAAGCCATTTCTGAAAGAGAACACCGCTGGCATCGCTTGATATCGATATCTGAAGTACTTTTCTGGTCGTCGTGCAAAACAAGGACTTCGAAATGTGAATCTACAAAACTAGGCGGTTAGTTTCAAAACTAGGCGGTTAGTTTGCACGACAAGCCGCCTCGAAAAACGAGGCGGTTGACGTCTAGGGTTAAGGCCCTATATTCACCTAAACTCTTGTGGCGGGCTTGCCTGTCTTCCTCTGTCTCGAAGACTGCAGCTAAGCCCACAAACCCCCAAACCCGTACCGTACCGTAGCATATGTACCGGCTGATTCGCTGATGAAGACTCTTGGGGCCTGAAGCTTGAGGATTCCAGTCCTTACCTAGACCCTCCATCTACCCTCTATTAGACCCTAAATGCCCCTTATTTGGGACCGTATACCCCTATTTGAGGGTACAAGGAGGGTCATGGTACTATAGAATCATAGGAGGCCGAAAGGGGTTTTAGCCTATGGGGGTTTAGTCGGGATTAGGGTTCCCAGAATAGGGTTCATATTGAGAAATCCCTACCCCAGGAATCTTAAACCCCCCTTTTGGCCTCCCATCATAGAAGCTTACATAACTACCAGGAGCCTAAAACTTATACAAGGCCCCGACAGTACCAGAGTTACTATTAGTTTCTGCCAGACCCTCGCGCCGTCGAAGATGGAGAGGGTTTAGGGCTAAGAGAGTCAGCAACCCCTGCATTGCGACAGGCCTCCCGGAAGAGACACTGCGCCCAATCGATTGTTTTTGGTTCGGCATGTAGGCTTCGATTGAAGTGTTCCGGGTTCAGCATGAAGGGCTTGCAGTTCGAGAGTAAGAACACTCCTCACCGAAAACCCGGCTGCAGTGGCTTATACGGCATTTGTAAGGTTTGATGAGGACATGGTATACGGAGCAGTCGCACTTGTACAGGGGCTGGGTGGGCGGCTCTGTGGTGCATAAGTGGCTTGCCCAGTTGTGCTGCTCGCTCCGGTGGTCCCTGTACGTGTCTGCTCGGGCATCCTGGGGCGTTGCAGGGCCCTCCACCCTTGATCTCCCTCGGCTGAGTGCTTTGGAGCGCCGGGCATAGGGCGCGGAGGGGTAGCGCGCGAGTGAGCACCTGCCTCGCTTCGGGACTTTTGCGTCTCTTTTAGTAGCATGCAAACCGCTTGCCGAGCCATTGGAGTTCCTGCCAAAGGCAGTTATGTATGTATGTATGTATGTATGTATGAATGTATGTATGTATGTATGTATGTATATGTATACATACGCACATGCATACATACATACATCCTGGCTGGGAATTCGAGTTACACCCGACGATTCAGAGGTTGAGGTTCAGTAGCAACAAGAAGTTTCTTGCAACTGTCGATTTATTGGCATTTCGTGGAAGCCGCCCCGCATCATGCTGCCGGCCGTGCCTTCGACATGCCGGCAGTCCGCCACTCAGGCTCGAGGGAACATCGTGCGCATGCGGACCTCCCGGGGCCCATCTGACTGGGCCCAGGGAGGTGTTTACGGCTGAAAGTTCCAGATGCGGATCTATTGGTGATGATGAAGATGCTGTGTCTGTTGCCCTTAGAATCATCGAAGTTAGAACCCGACCCTAGCCCTTTAAACTCGAGCACTTCGCACTGGGCCCCCCGTCCTGGAGGTTCCCTGGGCCTCTCCGGCACGCCGCTGTCGCCATTCGGATGCTGCAGGCAAGCGGGCACACAATATGGAACGCACAGCGAAAGCCCTAAACACGAAAGAGCATTTTCGCTTGAAGCCTGAAGGTTAGATAAACTTCATAAACTTGGTCGGGGGTTCGTTCGTTAGCAGCATTGTAGAAGCTACTTCGACAGC